AGCAGTTTTCAAAACATTCCAAAAGGGATGAAAGAAGTTTTTTTTTTTTTAAGTATCATTTCAAACTCCTGAATCGATGAATTCCAATTCATTGTAGCTCGTATTCCTATTTAAGCTCAAATTGTCCTACCTTTGGCCAACATGATCCTACTATGTCCTTTGGATCTGACCTCAGGAGCCTTTGGAAGATTTCTTACTACCCAACATAGTAATGTGCCCATGCTCTGCCTCCCTGCCCAAGACCTGGAATCAGCCATTTCTCCCCAATTCTCATATTCTAGTTCTTTAACCAGATCTTTAAACCTGAGGGAGCTGCTCTCCAGGAATAAGTGGTCCTACTTTAAAGTGTTCTTTCACATTTCCCTTTAGCTTTCTGGACAATGTATACATACATGGTGTGTATTTGTTCATAAGAAAAAGATTCTGCCAAGGTTGTACTTGAAATACCCTAGATCTAAATGTCGAATTGTAATAAAATATCTTCCCCTTTGAGGTCCAGCCCAAACCATCTAAAAATATCTCCTGCTTTTGGGAAATACAAAATGAGAATTAAAATGGGAGAGACCTTATCTTACCAGGAAAATTGGTAAAGCCAAATGTGAGGCTCTTTTAAAGTATAAATAAATACCCAAAGTTCTCAACCTAGACCACTTAAGGTCAAAATGAGATAACACATTGCTCTGGGTTTTAATTCTCCTGGAATTAGTCTCTGGCCCAACTTTCTCTCCTACTGTTTAGAAAGTAGACAGGTGCAGAAATAAAAAGTAAATAACGTCCTTCTGCATAACTTTGACTATGCAACAGTAGAGCCATTGTGAAAGATTCCCATGCAATTTGAATCAATTGGAAAATTGTGTAAGAGCACAGGGTGGGAACAAGATCCCAGCATATTCAGGCCCCAGCCCCCTCATCACAGACTGTGCTGAAGTTAAATTCAGAAAAATAAATAATGTCCATGTGGCATCATCTGGACAAGACATCTTATGATGGCAGAAAGGGGTTAAGGACTTCTCTTCAATACTACAGAGACAGAGGACTGAGGCACCCTGGCTGACCCCAATCCTGGCACAGAGGACCTGGCAGTACATACTAGAAGGGATCAAGTGGCAGTTCTTTGGTCTTTTTAAGGGGAGTAGAATTGTGACTGCACTAAGACAGTCAGTTTGAATGAATGCATTTTATAAACTGTAAAGTACCTGGTGAATATGAGATGGTGCTGATGTTATTTATGGATACATTTAAAAGAATACTTTTTAACATTCTTCATCCCCGGGCCTTCTCTTTCCAGGCCCTGTTCTGGGCACCAGGAATGCAATGGTGAATGGCACAGACCTCAGAGGTTGCATAGGAGTCAAAAATGTTACAAATCCTCGTGCAGTCACTAGTTTTATAAGTCCTAAATGGCATTCCCACTAACAGCTGGCATTATTTGGGTGTTGGTCATGTGCACTTCTCATATCTTGGTGAGGATGATAGTTGGTGGGGTCCTCAAAGCTGAACCCTGGCACCTCTCTGCAGTGTCAGCATTAGCATTCCCTGTCACTGGGATAGATGTACAAGAACCCAGTGCAGGGAATGTCAGAGGGCAGGACTCCCATGCTCGGCAGCCCTCCTCAGGACAGACTGGCTCCACTCACTCTCAGGCAGTCCCAGACCCGGTCTAGGACTTCCAAAATCATTTGCAGATTGATTGTTAAGGTTTGAGAAAATATGCTCCCAGAACTGGTGCTGTAAGAGGCATCCATTTCCCAGTCCCTATATTTGTGCTTCTTGCCTAGGAATCTCTGCTTTTTAGTAAAATTATTACTCTGCTCTGGCTTCTTATATCCTCTTCCTCTTTTGTCCTTAGAGCCCATGAATTCTCCAAAAATGCATAAATGCTCTTCTTCCTCAAGACAGCAGCAGTAGAAGTCTCATAAGGAGTAGGCTGACAACTGTCTCTATATATTGGTTAGTTGTCAACTAAAAACTCTGACTCTAGAAAGCCAGAAATACATTATGAAAAGCAGAGCCTGAACATTTTGTATAGTGCAGCTGAACTAGAAAGAAGAAAGTAGAGTTGTTTGGTACCTAAGTTCTCTACTAGTGTCATTCAGAACTGAGCTACCTCCACAGATATGAGCTTCAAATCAGAATTCACCAACATGGGAGGAAAAAAATGAAGAGGAATGAAAATTAATAGAAGCCACAAACTACAGAATCAAACTACCATGACCAAGGTAACAGAATTTTCAGATACTGCATATAAAATAAATACCAAGCAGGAGTAGTAAAAAAGTATCCACATCTCAACACACAGCATCACTAGTACATAAAACTGTAGAACACCAAAAACAGAAAGAATACTCTAAAAATGACCAGATGCCAAGGATAGATTCTTACAAAACAGCAACAGTTTACCTGACAGCTGACCTCTCAATAGCAACAATGGAAGCCAAAAGGCAATGAAATTAAATAGAAAAATGTAAAGCACGGTAAGAATATATCTTGGAAGTGCTGAGAGAAAATAATTTTCAGGACAAAATAGAACATTTTTGAACATATCAGACTGATGACTACCAATCTATTTTCACTTAAGAAACCACCACTAAGAGGTATTTCAGGGAAAAAGAAAATGATCCCAGGAGGAAGTTGGAGATGCAAGAGTATCTTTGTGGCCCAGGATAGAGAAGAATTTTTTAAATTTGATAAAAAGCATGTGCTACAAGGGAAAATTTGATATATTCAACTACATTAAAATCAAGGATTTATTTTGTCAAAAGCTACCATAAAATATGCGAGAAACATGCTAGTAGAATACATCTGCAACATATATAATAATCAATGATATTCAAACTCTTGGAAAAGATTCCTATGAATCAATAAGAAAAAAATAAATCTGTAAAAATATATGACCAAAAGAGACAATTAAAAATTTACAGAGGAGGATATATAAATGGCCACCAAATATACACAAATATACTTTAACTCATTAGTAATTGCTGTTAGAATCAAATGAGATACATTATCCCCCAGAAGCCTACCATGCCACAACAGAACCCTCAACTAAAAAGTAAGTTCAGCATATTTCAAAACACAATGTCAATACATTAAAATTAATTAGACTGCTATCTAACAGCAACAAATAATTGGGAAATTATTTTTTAAACAACACTATTTACAAGTAGTTCCCCCCAGATGAAATATTTAGGCATAAATATAACAAAATGTGTGTAGTTGCATATGCTAAAAACTTAGAAAACACTGATAAGTAATATCAAAGAACATCCTCATAATTGAAGAGACATACCATATTCATGGATTGGAAGACTAAACATAGAGAAGATGTCAATTCTTCCCAAACTGATCTATAGATTTAACAGAGTAAAAATTCCAGTAGAGAGATATTGTGAATTTTGATAAGCTGATTTAAAAAATTTTTATGTGGAAACACAGCAGAGCTAGTACAGGAGCTAAGCTGCCAAGAGGATAGCCAGTCTCTTGAGAAATGTGCAGAAGTGTGAATCACCAGAACTTGTAATTCTTTGAATTACTGTAGCTTTACAGAAAGTTTTAAAATCTGGTAATGTGATTCCTCCAGACCACAATTTCAGGAGTCATCTTTGAGTCCCACCCATCTCCTTCTCCCTACCATCATGACAAATCTCTAGTGGTCTCACAGAAAACAGGCTCTTCTTCTTTTTCAAAATTCTTTGATGGATTTATAAAAGGCCATCTATGAAGGCTATGTTCCTCCATGCTCAATCCTATAACTCTCTATAACTCTCTCACTGATGAGTCATTCTAAGCAGGGGTGGAGAAGAATAGGTTCTGAAGGAATTTGGGAGTGGCAAATGAGTTCAGCTCTTGTACAGTTTGAAGAGACTGAGAGGCAGGTCCAGGCCTGAGGTGAAGCAAAGGAGGCACCTAGAGTGCAAAATTCAGGACTTCCAGTAAGAGAAACCCAGTGAGCAGATGTGTGTGAGAAATGGGTGGAGGTGAGTTCTGGAAATCACCAGCCAATGTGGTGCTTGAAAAGCACAGATTTAACAGTAAAGGTGTAAAGTAAAGTAAAGGGAGAACTGAGGAATCTTCAGTGAAGGCTCTGGGAAGACCAGGAGCTCAGAAAGTTGGAATTAACCAAAACAAAACCACATAGTATTCATGTGGACCTTTTCCCTCCAATCCTCTAATTGGATACCATCTGGTACTACTATTTGGTTCCACCCCAGAACTCACCAACAGAGAGGCAAGCCCAGCCTAAAAGCCAAGGCAGAACCCAGAAAGAATGGGGGAAAGGTTTGGTTTCTCCACCAATGGCATAATAAATCACTGAACAGAGTTAAAAGGTGATTAAATGGGAATCATATTGTCCAACTCGTAACTAGCCCCAGAGCATTAGCTTCTGTGTGACCTGGGGGCTCCAAACCAAGTGCCTATAGGTCCAAGCAATCACTCAGTGTGTGAGGAGAGCAGGGAAGGAGAGGACTCTCACAGTGTAAGTGAGCAACAAGGAGTCTGCCTCAGGATGGCTTGGGGTTGATGAGGAGGGGGATGTGGTTCACTAAGGACTGCAGCTCCTTTTCAGAGAGATAGTAACAACTCATCTAGCCTACCCTGGCCCAGAAAATGCATATATTGTGTTCAGAATCATGGATTTCTCTAGAAATGCCCCAAATCTGGATTTTTTCATGTAAAAAAAAAATCTGTTTTAAACATTGGCAACTTATTCAGATTGTTTTTAAAAACTATCCATAACCAACACTATCTGGGCTAAGATGATACAGCAGGACTTGGCTCAGAGACCTTTCTTTTGCATCCTTTGTGCAAACCCCTTGAGTTTTGAAGCAGGATCTGGGCTGACTTGGAGTGAGCAGCCTTCCTTCCCCATTGCCCTCTTAGTTCCTCCTAACTTCATTTGAGCTTTTAACCAGAATAGAGGAGAAAGGGGACACTTTGCCAAGGGACACATGCCCCACACCAGCAAATTAACCCTCTTCTTTTGTGCTTTTCTCTTATAGGTATTCGGGTTCTGGGTCTGGGTCCTGGTAGCTGCCACGCAGGTAGCAACCCCGTTGCTGCAGGGATGGGTGATGTACGTCTCCCTGACCTCCTTCCTCATCTCACTGATGTTCTTTTTGTCTTATTTGCTTGGATTTTACAAAAGATTTGAGTCCTGGAGAGTGCTGGTAAGAACCAGAGGGGTGGCTAACCCTAGACTGATTTCTAGGTGTTGAAGGACAATGGGCCCATCTGCATGGGGAGGGAAAACCAGAGACCTGGCATCAGAAACCCTGCTAGGGCTTCATTCCTCTGAGATGAAGTCTTTTGATTTTAGTATATTCTGGAGCCAGTGTGGTGTTGTGTCATGCATGTACCTGTAGTCACAGCTATTGGGAGGCTGAGGCGGGAGGATTGCTTGAATTCAGGAGTTCAGAGCCGGGCTGGGCAACATGGTGAGACTCCATCTCTTAAAAAACAAGACAGAATATTCTGATGTGTTGTTCCTACATTTTTTTTTTTTTGGAAAAGCAAATCATTGGAGCAATGTCGAAGAAAATGCTGGTAGCAAAGTAAATCATTCATTCTAGCTTAAGGGTTTGTCACAATCACTGTGATAGGCCCAGTCTTCCATATGCCACACAAATTTTATGGAAAATTAATATATATTCCACTTACACCCAGTAAACAGTCTTGGAAGTTGATGCCTTTGTTTACTGTAACGTAATTAATTTTCTCACTGTTGTCACATCATGTTGTTAACCTGAGTGCTGAGTCTCCTTTTCGTCATCATAAATTGAGAACCATAAAAGCTAACTGTGGGCTGGGGATTTAGCTCAGTGGTGCCACCGCCTTCCTCACAAGCACAAGGACTCAAGTTTGATTCCAGGTACCAAAAACAAAAGCAACTGTATTGGTCAGCTTTCCCATTGCTTAGACAAAAATACCCAGTGCCCACAACTTAGAGGTTTAATTTTGGTTCAGTCCGTGGTCACCTGGGCCCAAGGCAGAAACATCATGGTGGACCGTGTGATGGAGCAAAGCTGCTGCTTCAATGGCGGCCAGGAGCAGGCCATAAGGGAAGTGCCCCCAAAAGAGATAAAAGCATCTAAAGCATCTCCTAAAGCATCTCCTCCCCCTGTGACTCACCTCATTCATTGTATCCCACCTCCTCACAGTCAGTACAGCGCCCCCATAGTCCAGTCACAACTTCAGGAGTCTCCTGATCCAGTCAGATTGGCAATCAAGATGGCAGGGACACAGCCCCATGAGGTTAGCTGTGAAGATTAAACAAGATGTGTGTATGGTTAGGAAAGTACCCAGCACACAAAAGTTCTTCACAATGTTAATGGTTAAATATGTGGGCTGGGAGTTCCTGAGCCCTGGGTTCAGGTCCTGGCCTAACCATTTAGTCACTGGCCTTACTGTGAGCTTCCATTCCCTCAAAAGGAAACCAGTAGTAAGTACAGTAGAACCTACCTTGTAGTTGACAAGGTTAAATGAGAAAAGGGCTTTGCACAGAGCTTGGCATAGAAAAAGCATCCAATTAATACTAGCTGGTATTGGTTTTGTGTGCATGTGTGGTACTGGGGATTGAACCCACAGCCTTCACACTGAGCTGCATCACCAGACACTACGACCTGCCCCCCACCATTATTTTTTAAGACACAGGGACTCACTAAGTTCCCAACTTGCCTGGACTGGGCTCAAGCTTGTGATACTCCTGCCTCCACCTCCTAGAGTGCTGGGGTTTCAGGCGAGCACTGTCATGCCCCACTGACATGATTATCTATCAATCCACTATTGTTTGCTACATAAATAAAAGCAGGAGTGTGGGGCTGGGCTTGCCTCTTTTCCTCACTCTCTCCTGCTGGGCAGTAAGAGAACAGTGCTCACTCCAGTGATGGGGCCCTGTCCTCTGCTTGCATCTCCAGGACAGCCTGTACCACGGGACCACAGGCATCCTGTACATGAGTGCCGCCGTCCTGCAAGCTCACGAAACCATCATGTCTGAGTCTGCGAACCTGAAAAACTACTACATCAACACCGCAGCCACAGTGAGTGTCCAAATGCCCCCAGGGACATGACCACCATCACCAAAGGCCTTGACTGTGTGAGGGTTAGTTCTGCCCATGCAGCTCAGATGATCCTGAGCTTCAAAGCTCAGAAGCATGGCGGAGGGAGGTGTGAACAGTGCGAGCACATTTGTGTGTGTGTGTGCCCAGGCTCCAGTGCCACCTTTTGCCTTCTGTCATCATGGAGTCCTGCTCCCTCTTACCTCCTCCACAGTCTTCAGAATTTAATTTTCCCTAAACACAAATTGGCACACACCAATCTCTCCCAATGCTGTGGAGTGGTGACCAAGTTCCTCTGCCCAGCAGAATGGCCCCCATGTCCTTTGTTTCAGTGACAGAGTCCACAGGGGAAGCATCAAGGCATGGGCAGAACAGGATCCCCAGGCCTCAGTTCCTTGGGGCCTTCCTGGTTTCTCCCGCTGTGGAATGGCGCCCTCGTGTGGCAGGATGCTCACTGTGCCAGACCCCTCTCTGAAGTGGCCCACCCTTGTCTTGGAGGAAAACGTCCGAAGGACTCACCACTAAGGCTGAGCCGCGCCCAAGCCCGGCATCCTGGAAGGAAGGGAGGTGTCTTGTAGCACTGTCCCCATAATGAGACAGAGCACCAGGCAAGCACTGGGAGGCTCTAAGGAGGCCACAGGACACCCCAGCTGCCCTTCAGCCTCTCCTCAACCTCATCAGGCCACTTTACCTTCTTTAAATGCACAACCCCAGAAGTGGCCCCAGGCCTGTACCTTGCACCCCCACACACACTGGCCTGAGGAGGCTGCCCCAGTCCCACTGGCCTCACTGAGTCCCCTGAACACACAGACCCGACCACCTCAGGACTTGGCTGGGATGACCGTGTCCCAGGATCACCGCCTTTTTGCAGTGTCACCTTCCCTCTGGGGCATCCCTATCAGCCCCCGCCAGCACTGCCCTCTTCCCTCCCCTGCCTCACTCTCCTGGGCCTTCTCTCTCCCTCACCCACTGTATGAACCCTTGTTTATCTTGCTTATTTGCTGTTGCTGAAATGTAAAACCTGAGGCTGGAATTTTGTAATGTCTTGTCCACTGTTACACCCATGCCATTCCTGAAGCATAGCAGAAGCTGAGAAGACAGGGCTGAGTAAGGAGTGAGAACAGTGTGTGCATGGACAGCAGGGTGGGAGAGGCTGCATGGCCGGGGGACTGGGAGGCTTCCTGGGGGTCATGGCTGCTGTCCTGAGGGAGGAGGACACCATGATGAATGTTAAACACAGCTTTGAACACAATCGTGTTTCCTCTCAGTGCAGCTTAGAGTGGGGCAGAGAAGGCAGAAGGGGGTGAGGTGAGGCCACAGTTGTCCTAGTGAGGGGCGGTGTGGCTGAAATGAGGGAGAAGCGAATGTCTGAGAGGAGTGAAGTGGGGACTTCGGGGCAGCTTTGGCTGAAGTGGGGGTGCTGGCCGGACAGTGAGTTTCTGGTGTGAGTGTCAGAGGCAATGAGGAGCGTAGGTGGAAATGCCCATACTCTAGTCTGGACCATTGACAGCTTGAGAGGGGCTGGAGACCACCACAGCAGGTGTTCATGGCAGCCCTGGGCTGGCCTGTAGGGGTGCCGCCTACAGGGATGCAGGGGAGAGAGCACCCGGCTGGAGGAAGAACCGTGTCCAGGTGGAGATGGAGACCATGTGGGGCAGGGTCCCTTGGGACCGAGGGAGGTAGAGCTCCCCAGAGGAGGGAGTAGCTGACCAGTGGTTGCACCCTCAGGCACTGAGGCACGGTCTCTTGGGATACAGGGGTCCTTGGGCCTTGGGGGTGCTGGAGCTGCCTCTTCCTGACACTCCCATCTTCTTCTAGTTCTTTGCCTTCATCACCACCCTGCTCTACATTCTGCACGCCTTCAGCATCTACTACCACTGAAGCTTCCTGCCGCACCCAGTGAGAAACGCTCCTCGAAAGCCCGGGTTCAACACTTGCCACATGGACGATAAACAGATGACCCACCCAAGCGTTTGTGGTATTAACAGTCTGTCCTTCAGGACGAGCAACAAGAGCCCTCTGGCACATTTCCCCCACAACAACGATACGAGGAAGTGGGCCTTGATCTGACTGTGAACCCAGCTCTTCTAGGAAATTAACTTGGAAGCCCTCGCTGCTGAGAATTCCAGCCCCACTGCCATCATACCTGTTGAGGACTCTGCCTCAGCAATGAGCCCTCCATAGATTTGGAGATATTCATTCTTACTTTCTTAAAATCAGAAAGTCCCCCTGCAGTCTCTTGGACCAGGCATCCTTGCACAGACCTGATCCTCCTTTTGGGCCTCTGCCCTCTACCTTGTCCAGACCCATCTCTTCTCCTGCCCTGGGGACAAAGGCTCCATTTCCCCTCCCTTCCCTCCACACCACAGCACTGGAAGCCATGGAAAAAGTTGGCCTAGAGCCAACTCAGAGGGGAGATTTGTGGGGAAAATAAGTGATTGGCTCCTGTATGAGACCTGGGGATGGGGATGGGAAGCACAGCCTGCTGATCCCCAAGCTAAACCCATGAACTTCCTAGTCCAGTGCACCTGCTCCAGGCCACCATGACCCACCTCCTAAGGACTAGAAGCTGCCTTGTCCCTCAGAGGGACCATCACAGAGGGGCATCACATCATGGATTCTCCTCTGGGCTCCTGCCAGAGGCACATGGGAAGCCACACCTACCCCATTACCTCAGGGCAGTGACAGGACCCCCTCCCAGGGGTCCGCCAGGTCACCTTTTCCCCATGGTCCCCTCTGGGTGGTGCCAGGCCCTCACGCGGCTGCCAAGACCTCTACCTGGAAAGACACTTGCATTCTGGAGCTATTCACTGAGAAGAGGCTGGCACAGCACACACGGAAACGCCAAATTAAGGTGCTTGGCTTAAAAGGAAATGTTTCTCCAAAGAAACATCTATGCTCTCGGGCATTTCCCCACCTGGGCAGGTGTCTGGTGTGCCTCAGGGCCAGGTCTCCTGACCCAACCAGTGAGGGGGCACTGCTGGAAACTGCCTGTGCCTGCTGTCCCTTGGAAATGAAATAAATTATTACTTGAAAGGGTGACAGTTACGGATGGTGGAACTTACTGTTTTTATCAACTTTTTCCCATTCTTTGGGGGGGGTAATCTGTTATATTTTGGGGGCTTTGTTATCATTTTATCACTTTC